TTTCTGTAAGGCCAGATCCAGAGTGTGAAATCTGAGGGTTCAACACACGGTGCTATGGTAGAATCGTCTCTTCCCGGGCAGCTTTCTGTTTAGAATGTGTTCATGACTATCCTTAAAGAAGTAAATGTCTTGATTGTTTTATAAAAATCATTCACTCATTGTTGACCCAGACCTTCTGCTCAAACACAAAAAGAGGAAGGTAGGGAAAGTCAGGGTGTGTGTGACTTGAATGTTCTCACTTTAACATTTTTTTTTAATAGAAAATTTAGAACATAAACAAAAGTAGAGAGAATAATGCAATAAACAAATGAACCTTAGCTTGGGGAATTCTCAGCTCATGCCCAATCTTCTTTCATCCACGTTTCTTCCTCTGTACCACGCTAATCACCCCTCACAACCCAAATGGAGTCTTTTGAGGCAAACCCAAGACAGCAAGCCACTTCATCCATAACTATTGCCATATGCATATGTAACTGATAAGAACTCTTTAAAAAATGAAACCACATAACCATTGTCACACTCAAAAAATGGACATTTGAATTTCCCTAATTATACTTTTTCCTTTTTTATATATATTTTTAAGAGCTGGTTTGTTTCAACCAGGGTTTCAACATTCTCTTCAATTTCTTTTAATGTACAGGCTTCTTCTCCCTTTTTTCCCTTTTCGGTTTATATACAGAAGTCTCAGAGTCATTTGTTCTGGAGTTTCTCACATTTTGTATTTTGGTGATTGTAACCGTGGAGTGTCATTTCATCTGTAACCTATTTCTCTGATTAGCATTTCATATAAGTTTTAGACTCTAGAATCAGAAGTTTGATCTGATTCAAGCCTAATTGTTTTCATCAGGAATCCCTCAGAAGGACCATCGCATCCTTCTCTCAGGAGGCACATAGAGGTCCGTGCATTTGCGGTGCCGCCATCATTAATGATCTTTGCCTAGACCCACTATTTCAGTAGGAGTTGCAAAATGGTAATATGCTAATTCTATCATTCCTTCATTATTAGCTGGAAGACTTCCATGAAGAGAAAACTTTCCTTAAAAACTTTTTGGTTACCCTGAGATACAGTTTATACATCAAAGACGGGTTGATTCTTGCCCTATGTTTACATGTTTTCAGGATAGTAAGTTGGTTCCTTGGCAACTTCTAAAGGTGGTCAATGAGTATTTGTTGTTGAGTATAATTATGACCTCATGGTTTTTAATATATTTGATATGTTTAAGTTCATCGAAGTCATTATTCTTACTGGTTCTCAAATTTTTCCATCTTTTGCCAGTGATAGCCTCTTCTTGTTGGCTCTGAATGTTCTGATACAACTCCAGTTTTTGGTAACTTCCTTATTGTCTGGTCTGACAAATGTTCTAGGCACATTTTGTATATTTCCTGCCTCAGACTTATAGTCAGCAATTTTCCCAAGGAGGCTTGGTTCCTGTAGATGTTATTTTGCAATGATGTTTAAAAATCATAAGCTGGCTTTAGGGCTTCGCTTTGTTTAAGAGTTGGGCATTGTCTTTAGCCTTTTTTAGTGGACGGAGTTGAAAACAATACTTAAGAGAAAATGCATCATGAGTTCATACTAATATTTTGAATTTGAATTTAGTATTGCAGGTTTTTAAAATTTAACTTCTTTTATTTTATCTTTCTCTCTTCTATCTAAGAGTCTTGGTTCCAGACAATATTAACATAATTACTTATTTGCTTTACTATACATTTTAGAATAATAATATTGATATCATTCCTAATGGCATGATTTCTGAAAACAGTTTAAGATTTTTTTAAAGTTACTTTTTGTCCTTAGATCTATCTCACTAGGGAAATACAAATAACTGTTTTTAAATTACTTGGATTAATTCCTCTCAGTGGTTTTATTGCCAACTCAATACACAGTGAAGTTCATTTGTTTCATTTTACTTTCAAATTTTAGGAATTGTTTTTTTAAATTTTGATTTAATGTTGTTTTATACAAATTTGTAAAGCATTTACAAACTTTCAGTGTTAAATCTTTAGGGTAAATTATATTTAGAAAAGTTCTAGCTTCTGTTCTTGTTTTTTCCACTAGATCCGTCTTTTTCCCTGTGGTAACTAAACAAAGGTGTTTAGCCTTATATTTTCTGAAGTATAAGTAAATGCATATATACACATGTTTATGTATGTATATAATTTTATAAACATACATATATTTTACATATCATATATTTTATATATGTAATATTTGTAGCTACCCCTTCTTAGATAATTAGATAAATAGAAGCATACTATATATACTTTTTTTCTACCATGCCTTTTTCACTTAACAGTATGTTCCAGAGATTGCTCCACAATGGTATATAGAAATCATCCTCATTTCTCCTCCACCCAATTCTTTTTAACAACTGCAAACTATTCGTTGAGTAGATAAATCACATTTCACTCAACTAGAACTATACTGGTGGACATCTTTGTTGTTTCCAGTTGTTTTGTTTTTTTGTAATAACTAGTGCTGCAATGAATAACCTTGTACATACATCTTTGGACAATTTTTTTAGTGTATCTATAAGATATATTCCCAGAAGTGAGATTTCTAAGACAAAGGGTAAATGTAACTTCACTAATATTGTCAAATTCCCATCCATGGGGCTATATCATTTTGCATTATCAGTAGCAATGTATGAGAGTAACTTTTTCCACAGCCTCACCAAAAAGGCATGAAATTTGGGTTTTTGTTAATCTGATAAGAATAGTTTTTAATTTACATTTTTTTATTTTTAGTTTAAAAAACGTGTTTGAGTCATTTGCATTTCTTTCCCAAAAACTGTTGTCCATATTGCTTGTCCGCTTGTCTACTATTATTTTTGGTCTTTTTATTTACATTTTTAGAAGCTCTTATATGTTAAGTATATGAAGCCATTTTCTGTTATATGTTGATACTGTTTTACTAGTTTGTCATTTCTTTTTATTTTGCTCTTGGTGTTTGTTTCCATGCAAAATTAAAAAAATTAATATTATCAGTCTTTTCATTGTTGCTTCTGGATTTTGAGTTCTAATTAGGAATATTTTCTATTTCTTGGTTATAGAGGAATTCACTCCTGTTTTCTTCTAATACTTGTATGATTCCTTTGTTTAATAAAAACATTTAAATCTCTGATCTATTTGAAATTTATCCTGGTGTGAGGTGAGGAATGGATCTTTTCCCACATTCATTCAGGTTTTTGACCATTACTGGGCAGCAGCAGCAAGGCAAAGACTTGCTCGGCTTTCTGGTTAAAGTCTGGAAGGCAATTCTCCTGAGTTGCCGACAGAAGGAACAAGCCATAGACACAATCTCTTCAACTTAAGAACATCTGTGGTTAAGAGTCAGCAACAGTTTCTCAAAACTGTTGACCACAAACAGGTGATGTTAGAAGTAACTTGGAGAGTGCTGCTTTAGACTTTGCACAAGTGGATTTCAAAAAAGCTTTCTAGAACCCAACTCGTTCGTAAGTAGAAGAGCTTCTGTACTTTGGATACCAATTAGGTGGAGAGCAAAGCTGACATTCAGTTTTATGAACTGGCAAGTCTGGCCAAAGTACAGGAACATTTCTGGGAGTGAAATAACTTTCTGTGTCCTTTATCAACTTCAAATGGGCTGTGCACTAGGCTGTCTGCAATTAGGTAGGCTATCTTTGAAAAGCATACAAGGTTCTCTCTGGGAAGAGCCCTAGGCAACACAAAATACTAAGACATTGCTGCAGGGTTAGCTAGTCCTATCTAGTAGCTACCTGCAGAAATCAGAGTCCCCACTATGCTTCCAGAAGCCATTTGGTGAGAAATGGTATGTCCAACTCGGGTTCACTATGCTGTCTAGTGGCCCATCTCAAGGACACTCACTGATGCTTGCTGTATTTTATTTCTTAAAATAGAAACTTATCTGAGAATTTGAATTTAATTTCCTGTGGCTTTGTATTTGGTTTGGTATGTTAACCACCAGGTTTTAATTATAGTTTTCTAACTACCTTTGTTAGAAACCCAGATGGGGTGATCAGCCTCCTGCTTGCTTAAGCCTCTGACAGATAGGGCTAATTGCTGTTGGTTTCTGGTCTGAGGTAGTTGGGAGATGGATGGGAAGATACCGTTAGTGCAGGGATAGTAGAGTTGAAAGGCTTAGAAAAGCAATTTATGGCAAATTTTGGAATCTCTATTGGACAGACATGGTTCAGATGTTCCTAAAAAGACTCCTAATCTATCTTAGTTTTTACCCCATTCATTGGGCCATTATAGTTACGAGTTCAAACAGAGGAGGGGTGTGATATCAAGAGCCTAGACTAAGATTTCCAAAGCTATGTTGGTGATAAAAATATAATCCAAAGAACAGCGTTGAAATTGGAATTCAGATCCCAATTTGCCAGTCTCCAAAGTCTTTGGTCTTAAACACTATGCCTTAAAGAATACCAGACTAATCTATTAGGGAGCTGAATCAAGACTGGGAGAGGTGAGTTCTCATTGCCTGTGTCAGGTATAGGAAATGTGTCATTGACACTGAGTCCCACGGGACTGGGTCCTTGGTAATTCTGTGATTCTTTGCTTCATGACCAAAAAAGAAAAGGAACGTGTATTCCAAAGATACAAGAAAATTAATTTTCAAAAGTCAAGTTCCTTGAAGATCAATATTAAATTCCAGAACAAAGGTCAGCATTGTTGTATTGGGAGGCACATCCTACCCCTAGCCCTGGAGAAGATTTTCAATACTGAGGGGAGGGTACATTTTAGGAAGCCCACTGACTTGAGACAATTCCATTAGTGCTGGGGGCGAGGTGCTCCGGGTGTTATGCATAACTCTGATTAATACTGACTGGCCAGGCCCGGCTTGTCCGAGGTATGGTGAAGCTAACCACTTCCTTATTAGCTGCAGGAGAGGGCGACCTTCGTCCCGGCTAGCTGAATATGAGTGGGTCAGATGATGCTACTGCTCTATGATAAGGGCGGGTGGGAGGAGATATAAGAATAAATCAGCTGGTGAGGATTTGGGCACAAGGCTCTATGGGATAGAGCGATTGGTGTGATCAGTTAATGGGAATGCCACCTGAGCAGGTTTCTCAGCAGGGTCAGGACTCCTAATGCTAGAACTCTCAGAGAAGATCAAGTGGGAGGGACAGCTGGCGGGCATGTCATTAGGGTGGAAGTATTGATATTTTGGCTGTGGATCTGGGAGTTGACCTGTCTGCTTAGTGGACTTGCACCACCCCTGTCCGTCGCTGTTCTCGTAGGTAAGTAGAGCTGTGCAGGAGACTCGTTCCACAGCTGTCGCCCGAGCTTCAGTTAAGGGCAGCAGATAAGGGCTTTTTAAAACAACCAGTATATACTACCTTATTTTATTTTTATTATCAACCTGGATTCAAACCTTAGAGAATCTATTTGATCTTCTTTGTTCCTCAGTTTCTTTATTTGGAAGTAATAACCTTCCAGTGTTGTTGTGAAGATTAAATGAGATATAAATAAGAGCATCAACAGTGCCAGCAGGCAATAGAGGTTACACTGGCAGTTTTCAATCTCGCTGCGTGTTGGAACAGGGGTCTTTTACAAACGATTGCTCGTCGGATTCCCCAAGGCCAATCACATCGAATCCCTACTGTTCTATGCAGCCAGGCTGGAGAAACCTGTACTAAAAATTTATGATTTGTACTCAGAAAACTCTCTTAGGGATATAAAAAGCGGTGGAGTTTGGTTAACTTTTAGTCCAAGTCTGGTGTAGTTAACTTGCCATGTTTCTTTGTATGAGTGCTAACTTAGAAAGGGTATAGCCCTCTCTCTTGTAATCTGGTTGGAGTGTAAGCTTGTCTAGTCAATTCTCTGTTTCTCAAGCTTAGGGGAGCAGAATTGAATACCTGGAATAAACAAAATCCTTTGTAGCCGCGCCTTTTGGAGAAGCTGGGCAGTCTACGCAGGTTTGAACCCAGGCTCGTGGGCTAAGCGGCGACTCGCAAGCAGGGTGTGAGGCCGGGGTCTCTCCCAGCAGGGTTTCGTTCTCCCTCCCTCCTCTGCACCGTGGACTACTCTGTGGACCACCCAGGCCGGGGAGTAAGTAGATCCACAATGTGAGATTAGTTCTGTGTTTCCTCATGTAGCAAACTGGAAATCCAGCTTTAAGATAACATGGCTTTTCCCAGAGAATTCTCCTGGGTTCGTCGGACTAGGCTTAATGTTATCCTGAGCGGAAGACCAAAGGGAGGAATATTTGTCTGCTTGTCTCCTGAGTTACTGGGTTGGGTCATGTAAAAGAAACATCTTTCTCTTTAGGCAGGCAGTGGGGTGAGGGGCTTACTTAGGGCTGACTCTGCTGAACCACTGTGAGAGGACAGAAGGGCCACTGTGGTCACCTTGGGTTTTTTTGCCTTCTGTTCAGAGCAAAGATAATCTTCATGTATGGAAATTTTTTTATTCACATTTTAAAAGTAAAACTAAAAGACATAAAAAGTAGATAAACTAGTAACATGCATATAGTTAAAGGAAAATAAAAAATCCTAAACATTTGAAATAAAGCACCAGTGATCTGAAGTGACCAAGACTGAGGTGACTAAAAATGTTAACATTTGCCTTGTATATTATGTCCAGGTAGGATTGGTCGCAGAGAACACTTCCCTATTTTGGGAACAGCTTTATCGGATAAAATTCAATACCACCACACAGTTTGCGTACTGGAAGTGCAAAGTCAATAGTTTTCAGTGCGTTGCAGAGTTTGCAACCACACCACAATAATTTTAGAAAATTTCATCACTCACAAAAGAAACGCTGTGTCCTTTAGCTCTCAGCCCCAATGCCCTCCCAACCCCAACTCCAGGTAACCACTAATATCACTTTCTCTATGGACTTGCCTATGCTGGACATTTCATGTGAATGGAATTATACAGTAATTGCCTTTGTTGTCTGGCTTCTTTCACTTAGGATGATGTTTCAAGGTTCATACATCTGAGCATGTACTGGTGTTTCGTTACTTTTTGGCTGAATAGTATTCCACTGTGTGGATAAACACAATTTTACTCATCAGTTGATGGACATTTGGTTGTTTCAACATTTTGGCCATTATGAATACTGCTATGAACATTATGTAAAGTTGCGTGTGTGACAAATTATTTTGTGACATACTTTTTATTTCTCTTAGCTATATACCTGGAGTAAAATGCTGAGTCAAATGGTAACTCTATGTGGAAGTTTTTTTTTTTTGGGACAGAGTCTCACTCTATTGCCCAGGCTAGAGTGTTGGCGTCAGCCTAGCTCACAGCAACCTCAAACTGCTGGCTCAGCAATCTTCCTGCCTCAGACTCCGAGTAGCTGGGACTACAGGTATGTGCCACCATGCCCGCTAATTTTTTTTGTATAGTTTTAGTTGGCCATTAATTTCTCTCTATTTTTAGTAGAGACAGGCTTGCTCTTGCTCAGGCTGGTTTGAACTCCTGACCTTGAGTAATCTGCCTGCCTCAGCCTCCCAGAGTGCTAGATACAGGCATGAGCCACCGTGCCCAGCTTATGTGAAAGTTGAGAGAACTTCCAGACTATTTTCCAAGTGTTGTATTATTTTACATTCCCCACCATAAATCTATAAGGATTCTGACTTCATCACATTCTCTTCAACACTTAGTATTATGTCTTTTTTATAATTATCCTGGTGGGGGTGAAAGTATCTTATTGTGGTTTTGATTCGCTTATGCCTAATGGTATTGAGCATCTTTTCATGTGCTTGTGTTTATTTACATATCTTGTTTGTTTTTTAAATGTCTACAGAGATCTTTTGTCTATTTTTTGCTTGAGTTATTTGTCTATTATTGAGTTGTAAGAATTCTTTATATATTCTAAGTATAATTCCTTTCTCTGATATTTGATTTTACAAATATTTTCTTCCACTCTTTGAGTTGTCTTTCACTTTTTTTTTTTTTTTTTTTGAGACAGAGTCTCGCTTGTTGCCCAGGCTATAAGTGAGTGCCGTGGCTCAGCCTAGCTCACAGCAACCTCAATCCTGGGCTCAAGCATCCTGCTGCCTCAGCCTCCCGAGTAGCTGGGACTACAGGCATGCGCCACCATGCCGCTAATTTTTTATATATATATTTAGTTGGCCATTATTTCTTTCTATTTATAGTAGAGACAGGGTCTCGCTCTTGCTCAGGCTGGTTTCAACTCCTGACCTTGAGCAATCGCCGCTTCGCCTCCAGAGTGCTAGGATTACAGGCGTGAGCCACCGCGCCCGGCCTGCCTTTCACTTTTTAATAGTGTTTTTTGAATCACAAACATTCTTAATTTTGGTGGAGTTCAATTTATCTGTTTTTAAAAATTGTTATTTGTGCTTTTGGGGTTGTATCTAAGAAACCATTTCCAAAGCCAAGGCCATAAACATTCATCCCTGCTTTCTTCCAAGAATTTTATAGTTTCAGCTCTTACTCTTTTGTCTTTGATACATTTTAGTTAATTTTGCTGAAGGGTGTGAGGTCACGGTCCAATTTCACTAATTTGCATGTGAATTCCATTTTCCCCGTTTGTTGAAAAGACTATCCTTTCCCAGGAAATATTTCTTAAGGGCAAAATTTCCAGAGGCAACCCAATTTTGGTGCCTAGTGAGAGATCCACAGGCAGAGAAGGGAAACCAGTATTTACTAGCCCTGGTGTCCAAGGACAGAGGCCTAGGTCAGGTGGGTTACAGCAGGCATGTGCATGCCAGTCTCCGATTTGTGCCCACGACAGGAATTCCTTGTCAGTCACAGCACACTGTCTGGCTCAGCTGTGATGACTGCCAGCACTAACACAAAGGAGCGGTGTCCCAGGAAGAGCATGTTTTGCAGGAATTGAACTAGGGAGGTTCACTTTGGGTTTGTGGAGTTTATTGTGCCTGTGGGACATGTGGGTGGAGCTGTGCAGTAGTAGTTGGATATAGAAGATGAGAGCCTTGACCGGAGGAGAGATCTGGGTTGGGGAGAGAGACACGAGATGTTGGCACATAGATTGGAGCAGATCTGACCTCCCAGAGTGAGTGACAATGCAGGATAGTCCAGGCTTGGACCCAAGGAGTCAGATGAGCCCATACTTGGGACTGCCGAGGACTGGCAGGAGAGGTAGAAGCAAAACCAGGAGAGGGTACTGGCGAGGAAGCCAGGGGCAAAGGGCAATTTGGGGAAAGCTACTGATGGTGAATGCTGTGAGAGGTCTGGTGAGGTGAAGACTGGACAGTGTCTGCCCGATCACCACGACAACATTGCGGGTCACCTTGGCCAGGGCAGTAGTCCCTGTGGAGCAGTGGAGGTGGCAGCCACTTGCAGAGATCCAAGTGTTAGCTGGATGTGAGCAAAGCCTTGCTTGGTGCACTCTGATAAGAGAGGCAGAGATAGGTCTCAGATAAATCTACAAGATTATTGCCATTTCTTGGAATTTAAAGAAAATCCAAGATCAAATAAAAAGTTCAGCTGACTGTGAGAAAAGAAAACATCTGAGGGAAGATGGGAATGTCTGTGTTGCCAGATCCGGCCTGCACGTTCAACGTCAGACCGACTGCACCGTTGTCTGAGACGTTCCTGCAGAAATGGGTCCTACATGGCGGGGAAATTAATCTCACTTAAGGACAAGCCTTGCTGAAGAATATTAACTGGCAGATAAAACGCAGGATCACTAAGCTGGTGTTTCTCACAGAAGGGTCTATGCGCTCACTCATGTCAGGAATCCAGAGTGCTTTAAAATTGTTGATCCCTCACCAGCAAATTGGTATTAACTGATCAACACCTAAGTGGACATATAGGAATATAATTTATTGGATGTCGGGCGGGGGTGGGGGGATGGGTATATGCATACATAATGAGTGTGATGTGCACCAACTGGGGGATGGACACGCTTGAAGCTCTGACTTGAGGGGGGAGGGGGTCAAGGGCAATGTATGTATCCTTAACGTTTGTACCCCCACAATATGCTAGAAAAAAAATAAATATAAAAAAAAAATAAAAATGTTGAACTCAGGCATGTACCCAGAACTTACTAGACCAGGATTTCAAGGTGTAAGGCCCAGTTTTAATAAACTTTCTCATTTAGAAAGCACTAGAAGGCACATGTCCAATACAGCTGATGATGTGAACACTTACTAGCCATTCCGTTCACGTGATTCTCTAGCAGTTCTGTGGCAGGGGAAACTGGAGCCAGATTACAGCCCTTGTCTACTGGGCAGTTGCTTGGAGCGACTATCTATAGATGAAGTTAAATATCCCTGGAATAAACAGCTGCAAATTAGGCCCGCTTC